GAAACCCCCTAAATAACTATCATCAGTGTCAAGAAAAGTATATGCTAAAATAGTAGAAACAAAACTAAAGAAACTGATTTTTAGGCGAAATTCAAGGTGGTGATATGTATGACAATGTTCTAAACAAAATCAATATTAGAACATATTATTTCAAATCTAATGAAGGGGTTAAGTTCTTTACTATCTAAACTGTGGGTAATGATTGGAACACAATTAATACCTGGTCTATTCTAGGCAGATGACATAGTTATCATAGCAAATAACGCAGTTAAACTACATACAAAACAAACAATTTAGAAATAAGAAACTAAAACATACAAATACTTAGGCATCATTTGCTATGTTCACACGGCAGCATTCTATTGGAGCCGAACTACTGCTCCTCCCACGGATTAACAGGAGATTATCTCCAATGCATTCATACGGTCGGGAGCTGAACGAGAGACGAGATCTGCCAGAGTTTGATTCAGTTCGTTCAGAGCCGAACGGAACAGTGCCCTCGAATAATTAGTGACTGAAAACGATTTTAGTGTTGTGCTTGTGTTTTTTTCTTTACATGGCATGATGCTGTTGAGCTAGGAGAAAAAAGAGCCTGAGCATGTAGGTAGAAAAGACAATGACTGGTATTATGATTTAGGTACTAGTATCTCGAATCAACAGGAAACACGGCAGCTAAAATGCGTTTAATACAACCTATTCGCTCAAGTTATTGTCATGCAAAATTACCATTTTGTAACTACTGTGGAATACTTTATTTTCGCTGAAAAGGCTTTTTGGGCGTTTTGTGTGGAATTTATTTTCACTGATTTTTGATGAGTTTAATGTGAAATATAGGAAAAAAAGTATATTCGCTGGATTTTATTTTCACGGAAACATCCCTTCAGCGAAAATAGCGGAAATAAATTCCAAGCGAAAATAAAGTATTCTACATTATTCAACTGTAGTGATATCTAAATTACTAGGAAGAATCACAGATTCTCTCTAGCTATCATAGAGGGACTATGGAAGAATCTAAACCTACCAGGAACATGTCACCGTACCGTGATCGCTTCTACGATTTTTATGTTTAGTGTCTTTAAAAAGTTGCCGTTCAGTCATTTTTTCAAGTTTTTGTCGCATAATTTTGTACGCCATTTTTTTGTTTCCCGTTGAGCTATCAATCTATCACAATAATTCGTTACTATATATTAGGTTGCGTACCTCTAGACTTTGTCAAGCCGGAAATTACGCTAAATTACGAAAGATGTTGTCTCCGCCATAATTGAAATGAGAGTTTACTCGAAGAAGACGATTGAGGGCGTGATTTTGGCTCTGATAGTTTGGCCCTGATGTGTTTACACGATCGGAGCCATGACAGGACTCGACCCTATCGGAGTTCAACCCAGAGGGTTTAGTTGAGCCGAACGCGTTTACACGCCCATTTTTGCTGGCTCGAGCCGTCGGGTTCTGATAAAATGCTGTCGTGTGAACATAGCAATTATTTCAAAATCATTGAAGGATCATTCAAATTTTAGGAAACTTATAAAAAAGAAATGAAAATATTCGCATACAGTGTTCTCCCCAGGAATTTAAACCACTGTGGTGGACTAATTTGCATATAGTTTGCATATCATTTACATAATAATAAAGATTGACCAAAGCACATTTACACCCCACACAATAAACAATATTTATTTAGCAGACTAAAAAGAAACAAATAAATTGTAAAAGGTTAAATGAAACTTATTTGAAACCTTTCAGTCAGGATTATGTTCACGACTTTCATGATCTTCAGGGTTCTCTATCTAACAAGTTTGTTAATTTATTTTCCCAAATAGATACATACATGCTTTATTTAATTTTTAGCAAAAATTTATATTTATGATTTATATTTATTTGGACGAAGCAAAATAAAATGTATGAAG